CCCATTTTGCTGGTCATCGCTAAGAGGTTTCCCTCATTCAATAGTTTTTGTTTTTTCAATGGCCATAATTGAGCTTTGTTGACTAACGAAAATAACAAGCTGGCTTTAAGGGGTTATATACCTTTTTTGAGCGAAAAAATTGAGGGAACTTTGGATTTTTTTTTCGGTGTGTAGCAATTATTTTATGACAGTGAAGTTATTATTTATTGATAGTACATGTTTTTATCGAAACAACAAGCCATTGTTCTTGAAAAAATATGAATAATTTACGAAGTTATGGCAATTCTTTCGGAACCCTTTTTTTTTATAGCGGCTTGCGGTGACCACGATGGAAGTCCAGCAGGTATACTGATATCAAAAAACCAAAAAATTTTAGTTAGTATAGTATTATTTCCAGTTCGTGAACGATTACTTTTAAGAATATTTCCTTTTTTCTGCATACAGTAAAAATTTTTCCAAAAAGTTGATTTTTCAAGTTCTAAAAATTTTATTAAAAAATTCTGATCTGCGAAATTAAAATTGGCGCATAAAAACTGAATCGTTCACGAACTCGGCACAATCATTACGAATAATTTAAAAAAAATTGAAGAAGATCGATCAAATAGTTCTTGCGCAATCGTGGTCACAGCGAAGGCACTTTTGGAAAAACACGACTTTGAGATAATCGCATTCAAAGTTTTACGTTGACGTTGCAACTATTGAAGTCGAGCGCGTCAAAACGCTGTTTTCCTATCGAACTATTATTCGGATCTATATGAAAATTTGGAAAGATGTTCTCTAGGGGATATACTTTAAGATTCAGCAAAAAAAAAATTTCGTTTTTTTTGAAAAAAAAAAGGTATATAACCCCTTAAGCGAAACAAAAATAATGGACATTTAAACAAAGAAAATAATTGTTTTCTTTTATATGAAACCAATAAATACATTCTTGATTAATAAAAAATATCAATTAAAATGGTTTGGTTATAAGCTTATCACAATAATTAAATGACTGCTGTTGTTAAATTTATTTATTTATACATATATATAAAATATTTAATTTATGTTCAGCCTCTAAATTAATATACAACGTTTTCAAAAAGGTAGATTTCATTACCCACAAAAAACCAAGATTTTTTTCAAGTTTTAATCTGCAAATGAGAAATAACTTGTAATCGATAAACAAATAAGCTCAATCTACTCAGCCAAAGCCAGCCGATTGGCCATAATAAAAAAGTAGGATAATTTTCGCCATGTTGTTTGGGTTTCTGCGCCCTGTGGTTTATTTATATATTTATTATATTTTTTTATTACTCATGCGCCCGGGCAATGTTTGCGTTATTTCTTTGGTTCAACGGCTTATGAAATTATGATAGTAAAACCCGACTACGGCAATGGCAATGGGCAATGGGAATGGCAGCCATTTGAAAACTCGTAAATCAACCCACACGCAATGTCTGCTCCGTTTGGCAAACATAAAAAGAAAAATTTCTTGCCTTCTTCTTTTTGAAAAAGACGAGGGGCGAAGAAAAATTCAATTATTTGCCATATGAAACGGTCATTGACTGACTGATGGTCAGTGGCAAAGGTTGCTTGCTCCTTTGTTGTCGCTTTTCAATGGTTCCACCCGGTGACCCTGTGACCCCTGCTCCTTTAACCCTTAGGCTGGCCATTAATGTTTACGAGGGAGTTGCAATATTTTTCGGGGCCCCCATAAACGCTATTCCCACACTGATATAAAAAATAGTCAATCCAAAAATTTCATTTTTGGTTTAAATATTTTTCAATATTTTAATTAATTAATTTTTATTAATTATAAATCTATAAATACTAAATTAGGTATTTATAGTAAATTAAAAAATGTTAAACTTTGATTTTAATGTAAGATTATTATTTTTTAATGATGTGAAATATTTAAAGTATATTGCATTTAAAATTTTTTACCTTTATTTAAAAAATTCAAATTATTTATATTTATTTTCACTAAGCCATTTTTACCTCTGCATTGATATGGCAGGCTGTTAAGCCGGATAAACTGGGCAAATATATATGAAATTAGAATTTCATCGCCTAATCTGAATTTGCAATTAAGCCCGGCTCATCAGATTCGCACGCACAACGGCGACTGCGACTCATTATCGCATATTGGGTTTGCAGAATTTTAAGCCACAATTCGGATCGCACATCCTATGTGAGCCCATGTGTGCCCACTGCCATCCGGCCAATCTGGTTGACAGGAAGGACGAAGGACGAAGGAGGAGGCGCGAAGGTCACACATCGATGGGCAGGCATAACTCCGGCTTATTTACTGTCCTGCGTCCTGCGTCCTTTAGCCATCCCCTTTTTCAGCCCCTTTTCCGCTGCAGGCTGCACGCCCATGCTGATGCTGTGATGGTGTCATGTCGCCGTAATGGCCGAAAAGGACGAAAATCGGGATTTTGCGTGCGGAATGACTTTTGCGCCCCGCATTTAAATGACGGCAAAGGCAAGCTTAAATGGATTCCATGTGGCTCCGCCGGCGGATGAGTTTAAATCCACTTCTTCAGCTGGGATTGATTTTTGCGGCTCCTCCGTGCGGACGAGATGGAGCTCCAATTAACTTTGCACCTGTGTGTGCCCCTCTAATTGAGTTCGCCCTTTGAGACTTTTTATTTTGGCGTCGGAATTCATTTAGTGTGTGTGCAGAGTGCAGGCGCATATATGGCACGGCACACACATGTGTATTTAGTAGATGGGACAGGTCTCGGGCTCAAGTTATCCTCCACGTGCCGCACGGCTCGGCTGCCACGATGGTTTCGCCGCGAAGAACACTACACGACACGGTGTCCTATTAATGGGAAATACTTTTTGTAATTAAATAATAATTTAGCAAGCGGGCAGGCGGGGAAGTGGGGCAAGTGAAGATGTGATGACGAACCCGCCTACGCAGGCCAAAAGACCCCAAAGTTACCCATGGCAACTGCCATCCTTATATTTTTATTTAGCTGCACAGAGAAAATTAAATTAATGGCCATATATTGTGCACTTGAATATGTTTTTTTTTGATTCTCGTGAAGATAAGCTAAGTAAAGCTTAGAAAAAACTTGAAGACCTTAGTGTATCTTAAAAAAGTCGAATTATTATGTAATTTAAGGCAAGACAATTGTTTTTTAGTAAAAAATAAATACTATCGGTTGTTTAAAATTTTAAGAAACATCGTATAGTGTCCTTTAGCTTTTGTAAATTTTTTTTTTTCCTAAATTTTTTATTGGCCACCATCGATAATATTTTTTGGAGTGTACAGTGTACACATTCGTGACTATATTTATTTGCCAACAAACATTTGTGGTTTAATATCAGACACTCGCTGAATTTATGGGGTCGTTGTCTTTCATGGCCAAAACAAAATGAGTGCAGTTCTTGATGAACTACTACTCAGTACTCACCACTATTTTGGCAATTTCACTTGATTGGCCGCCGAGGATTGAACCTATTTGCCGATTTAGGTGTAAGTAAGTGTATATTATTTTTTTAGAGCCTCAAAACCCGTCTGGCCAGCTCGGACTGTGCCACATGCTGTTGCGGTGGGATAATTTTAGGTTTTTCTCGCCGCAAACACCATGGCCCGCAGTGACAGCGCGCGGCAAACACAAACAATTAGCCTTGCCAGCTGCAGTCGGCCGCAGGGCAGCAGTGCGTATACGTGATTTATGAATGCGGTGCACGCTTTTGCGGTTATCACGTGGGTTGGAGTAGGGGTAATATTAGAGTCAAATGAGGGGGCAGGGCGAGGGTGATGTTAATTCAATTAGTGTTGTGTTTGCCTTCGAACGAAGCCTTTGCCCAGAAGTGCTTTGTTCCATGTACGAGCACGAAATTCGATAATTGATTTAGACAATCAATGCACTTTGGCTGCACTTTAACTCGGGGGCAATCAGGAATCTGGATAAATATTGAGCAGATTTTCTGCTCCTTTGCCTGCCAGCCGTCGCCAGTCGCACATCTTCAATATAAATGTGTATATATGCATAAACAAAAATCCAATGACTTTCTGGTCCACTCTCCCCGGCTGAAAACTGAAATTCCTCTGCCTCCAACGTCCTTGCAGGCAAATGTAATGGCAGTGCAGACACATTGATAGCCACAGAAATGTTGGCAAATAGCAAAAATTTCACCTGAACCAAATTTCCCTCTGCAGGCCTGCGAAGAGTTGTTTGTTTGGTATTTGCCTTTGACCAACAGTTATGGGGCGAAAAGCGAATGGGCGGGAGGAAGGGGATTGGGTGGGAAATTCCGAAAAACTACTGCAATAGTTCTGACAGAATAGAAAATCACAACAAGCAACAACAACCAGCAACAAATAGCAAACAGAAAGCAGCAAAAATCAACAGCAGCAAAGAATAAGCAAAAATATTTTCCCTACCTTCCAACAAATTGGCTGCCAAATGAAAAAGCTGCAAAAAGGAAAGGTAGATAGATGGACAGAAAGACGGTTGCTGGATGGATTCAAAATTAATATGTGGAGTGTGCATTCCATGGCGAGTCCAACCATTCGAAGCTGAATTTCGGCAGAGTTGAATGGAGGAATTTCCACAACTGTTTATATAAAACCAGAGTATAAATACAGAGCTTTGTGTGCACTTTTATGACGACGGCAGGTATGCAGTTGATTCAGCAGATTTTTATAAAAATAGAATAGTAAAGTCCCAAAATTCTAGATCGGCAAATTAAAAATAAATGTGTTTTTTGCTTGCATATCTGAGTAAGTGGTATCTGATAATCTAGGCATCTGACTTGTACAATTAATAAGCTAGCAAAACGACACGGATACAGATTCCCCAAAATGAAATAAAGCTCACCATCTCTCATAAATTGAGATATTATATATAGATGTGCTGGCCGGCCCCTAATTGAGCCTCGATTCAATAATTTCAATTAAACTTTCACAACACAAAAGCGAACCCATTTCGATGCGAATAATTTAAATGTGGCCCAGGGACGTGAATAATTGATGAGCCTCTTCGTTCTCATTGTTTTCGCAGGAAGCATATCGTCGCTGGGTCTGCAGTACACTAGTGCCATATTTTGCCGAGCCAAAGGACGTGTCGCCGAAGCCAAAGGACGATGGCCCGGCGGTCAAAAGCAAACGCTCGGCGAGAAGTGCAGAGGCGGCGGACGGAATCAAGCATAAATCTCTGAAATTAATCAGCAATAACAATAAATCAAATAACGGCAATAACATGAACGAGCGTCAGATTAATCAGAAGCATGACAAGAGCTCGAATGCGAATGCGAACGCGAATGCGAACTCGAACTCAAACTCAAACGCCAACAAGGACATTGACCGCAGCGTGGAGGAGGCGATTGGCAGGGACCTGGCTCAGACATTCTTCGATGTTGTTGGCCTGTCTAAGCCCCGGCACAGTGGAGGCGAGGTGGAGCTCGTCCTGCCAGAGGAACGGGAGGGGAACAGGAACGGGAACGGGGAGAGGGAGACGGATACGGAGGCTGAGGCCGAACAACAATCCAATAATTTCATATCGACTGCCAATAATTCGGATCCCAGAGCCACGGATCCAGTGATATCAAAACTACAGAAGAGGTGAGTGAGGCCTAGTGTCTATTTTTCCCAAAAAGTCACGAAGAAACGACCAATTATTTTAATTTATTTAACCTAAGTTGTAGTATTAATCCCTATATCACTGTCCCTCCTGCAGATCAACACGCAAGACAGAGTTCCGTAAGCGCCGTCGAATCCGGCCGTGCCTGAGCGTCTGCCAAACCGTGGAACAAAAGTGCCCCTACCTGCTGCCCGCCGATCGCGCCCCTGCGCTGCCCACCCAATACGCAGGCGAGCCGACATTTCTCTGCCTAGGTGGGTATAGTACTTGATAGAAAAATACCATTATTCATAACCTTCTCGATCCCTTCCAGATCAAAATATACCCGAGACAGGGGCGCAGCTGGAGAAGTCGAGCTACGGGCCCAACGATTGCTGCTACAGCTACTGCAATGGACCCATGTCGGGGATCTGCACCGTCTGCCAGGACTTCAGTCAGCCAGCCAGGATGGAGGAGGGGGATCCTTCGGGCAACTCCAGCACCACCACCCGCCGAGTGCACAACATCACGCTCTCGCTGAGCTCCCACCCCGGCGAGCATGCCCGGGCGAAGAGCGTGGCCCTGGCCCTGAGGAATGTTAGCCGCACGGAAGGGGATCCGAATGCCGTGGAAACCCTGCTCGAACGCCTGCCGTACTACGCCCGCACCCACGACGGGATCTTCTACTACGACGAGGAGGGCGAGATGCCCAAGGCCTCGCTCTCCGGCGACTGTGCCGTTGTGCCCCCCGCCACCACGCGCTGCACCATTCCCTACTACGCCTCCGGAACGGATGGATCGGTGGCCAAGGCGCCCACGCAGCTCCTGGTCTGGCTGAGTGCCCTACTGGGCCTCCTCAGCAGCTGTGGAGCCGCGCGGCAAAGGTGGAGCTGCCAGTGGAGCGGCTGTAGTAGTGCCCACAGGAGTCGCAGTCGTCAGGCTGTGTCCTGCGAGGCCAGCTGCCACGAGCAGGAGTTGGTGGTCAAGAGCAGGAACAGCAGTCAAAGGAATACCACTCCCAGAGAGAAGAAGGAGAAGCAGAAGCAGGCGGCTTCGGTGGTGCAGGTGGTTCCATTTCCATTTCCATTCAAAACCCACCAGTGGCCCAGGCTGACCTGCAGCAAAGTGCGATACTTCAGTAGCCGCAGCAAGTTCAAAGGTCCCAGCTGCAAGGACTCCGCAGGATGCATTAGGACTAGGAACTATCGCTACTTCTACTACTACAACTACAACATCAACGATTGGTGGCGGAGATGGTGGTTATAGTGCCTGTCAGTCGGAAGGAGCATCAGGAGGGATCAGGAAGGAGGCGGGTTAAGAAGGATTAAACCATGAACAGGCGATACCAAATACTAATAATAGCTAAATCAGAATCGATGCATTGTAGGTGTGGCAAATGGTCAAACAAGAGACGACACACAACAAACATGAATTACGAATTAAACGAAACGGAAAACAGAAACCACTTAAATATTTATGGTCCTCTTTCAAAACGAAATAAAAACAAGCATGAATTAATTATAAATCTCTATTGAAACAAAACCAAAATAGCATATTTTATTACAACTAGAACAAAATGAATATGAATATTTAATTAAACAAAAAGCAACTGCCACAAGAATAGGTTTTTTAGATAAACGATAACGGAAGTATAAAAAGAAACCAAAAAAATGAAAACATTTAACAAAAAACGCATACAACTAAAATATAAAAGGGGGATAAAGGCGACGGAAAATATAAATAGTTAATAATTTAATTACTGGCGAACAAAAATACGAAAAGTTTAGGCTAGCTATAAAAAAAGAAGACGAAAAGAAAAAATCCAAATTTACTAGACTACAAATTTGAAAGCGGCAATGGCGATTAGAGGAAAATGCAAAATAAAAACACCATTTCAGTCAAAAGTATGGGCCGCGTATCAACCACCTTTCAAAGAAAAGCGAAACGTGAACTTTACTTAATTAGTTTAAACCCCTGCGCACGCGTATGTGTGTGGAATACTATAGTCAAGGTGGGAGCGATTTAATTAACAATTAAAACAATTAACGGGGATGGAAAACCAAAAGAAGCCGCAAAAGTGTCTAAAAATGTCTTTATTTAGTTTAAAGAAAATAAAAGAGGTACCGTAAACATTTGTATAATCCAAGAAAAACAGAAAACAAAGAGCCAAAATGAAAAATGTAAAAGAGAAGAAGAAGAGTATGTAAAGCGCACAGTAAAAACGTATCTTTAAGATTCATCGACCGACATAGCGAAGGTTCTGATTCTGATTCGGTTAGGAAACGGAAGCGGAAATGGAAACGGAAGCATTACCAGCATATAGAACTCACATACAGTTGTGTATGCATATATGAACGATAGATATAGTGACAAGATGCGCAACGTCAGGCGCTAAATACGATGGAGAGGCGTGGTCAGAAACAGAAGAAGAAACCGAAACCGAAACAACAACAATATACCTACTATATAAATACTAACAATGAATAATAATACTTTTTGTAATAAAGTGAACTCTATGTAGCGTATATATATAATTAATTATATATATGAAATATATATATTTATATAATATATATTGTCTTAACAACTTATCGTACATAACTTGCAGCAAAAAATGAAAACTATGAGAAAAACCAAAATACGAGAACCCCGAACCCCTAACGGCGAAACAAAAACAAAGGACACGTAAATAATTAAGAAATATTAAAATAATTAGTCGTATTTGGTATTAACTAATTAACTATTAAAGTAAGAACTAAACAATTTGAGAGAACCCTCTGATAGAGCACACTCGCCCACACTCTCACAGATGTAGGAAGACGACACCTTCTTTGAGCACTCCTAATGGTTCAGTTTACAGTTAGTTTCCTAGTTTCTCAGTTTCCCCCACCTCCAACCAGTCACTCCACCCAATCTCACTTCTATTCCATTCCATGTTTTCCGGAAAAGTGTTTTTCTTTCGATCTTTTTCTCTGTGAAGTCTATTATCGAACGGTTTAACCCACTGCAGGCAGTGTCGGAGTTACCAGGATTTAAGTCTATTAGGAATGCTTTTCCGTTTGCAAAAATTTTCACAACAAATTTGCATTACCAAAAAACTGACGAAATTACTTTAGGAGGAGAAGAGGATTGAGAGATAGCGGTATATGGATTTTGTTAGATGTTGTAGTAGTTAACGTAAACGACTTAACGAGCAGGAGCAGCAGCCTTCATTAAGAACCCTCCACTCTCCACCCTCTCTGGTTAGCCCCCATATCAATAGATCTTTGTAAATACAGATTACGTATGAGCAATTCGCCTCCTATCACCGAATATATATTCAATACCTTTCGCTCTTTTGATTCCTCATTCCGAATTTCCCCTAATTGCGCTCATATGCGAAACTCTTTCCGTAAATTATATAGCAAGTGTATATGAGTTAAGGGGTGGCCACAACTTTTCACTTATTGGGGCGAATGCGTAACCTTTTCTAAGCAACAAAAAACAAGGAGAAAGGCGGAACGACACCGTTATCAAACATTTCAATGGCGGAACGGAAACGGAAATGGAAATGGAAACGGTAGCGGTAGCGGAAACAGAAGCAGAAACAGAAAGCAGAGTCAGCCGCTGGCACAAATTGCGCGCATATAGAATGCAAATTGTTATGAATTATTGTGTACTTTTGTAAAACTTTTTGATATATATAATATAGTTAACATGAATAGATGCCTAAATAATAATAAATTAAATGTTAATTTATTTAAATGTAAACAATAAATAGAGAAGGACACTGGAGTAGGCCAACGGGGCGATCGGCATCTGGATTTGCGGTTTGTTGATCCCAAAATCGACTTAAAAATCCAAATCCAAATCCGATCCGATCCCGGGCATTAGCGTATGTACGAAATAAATTTTAGGCACCATCGGAGAACGAGGATCTTAACTCCAGACGGCGATATTTCCCTTGTGCATAGCGAAACTAGTTGAATTGTGTACGTAACGTGGGTAAAATCATAGCACCAGATCTAAACCATCGACTTTGCATGGCCATCACACACACAATCAGAATCACACAATCGATACAAATTCAAACTCAAATTCAAATCCAAATCCGAATCAATAACCAATTAGCACGAATTATACAATAATTTTTGTAATTGATTAGCCGCTGCCACACAAACAAAAACGAAAACCAAAAACCAAAAAAAAACTCCGCTGCAGCGTATGCTAGCAATTATTTTTTACAAAAACCAAAAGAAAAAAACTATTTAAAATATGTAAAAAAAAGAGATTTTTAAAAACCGAAACAAAATTGGAAACACAAAATTCTTTTTAGGCCAAACGAAAAAATTACATAATTGTGTGCCAGGACAAAAGTGACAAACAAAAAATATAAAAACAAAGGAAGCGTTAAAATGTGTTGTATTTGATATCATGCAAGCATGCACAGAAAACAGAAACAAAGGCGAATAAACGGAAAACAATTAATATAAACGAAATTCATAGCGTCAAGTCAAATTTAATTTAATTAAATGAAAACATAGACTAATTTAATGGAAAGCCACACAGCTAGCGAGCAAAACAAAAGTCTCCATAAAATTGAATACTCTAACCATAGTGTCTCCCGAGCGAAGAAGAAGACGAAGAGTTTGCATAGTGAAAATCGAAAACCAGCAATGACAAGCCCCTCCCAAATAACAGTAATTTAGTGAGAAACTGATCTAAAGAAACGTAAAATCTAAAATCCCACTTGAGACAGCTAAAAACTTTAAAAAAACTAAACTGAAATCTTCTGTACTTGTTATTTAAAGAAAAACAAAAACACATACAAAGCGTAAGGATAAAGAAAACATAGAAAAATCAACAAATTATAAAAACAAAAAAAAACGATGAAAAATCCAAAAATAGAACTCGGAAAAACGAAATTTCATAGTCCTTAAGCTAAAATCTAAAAACGAAATGAAGTAAATTCCCCCAGCCAAACTATCTAAAGTAATGAAAATGATTTCCAAGGCGGAGACGGAGAAGGAAAATAGTAATACTATCTAATAATAATGGCAACTGGCATAATTATGGTAATTGTAAAATAATTAAACAATGACGTAAACGTAATACCAAAACGGAAAAAAATCGAAAATAATAAAAAATAAATTGTTGTTATTGAATGTATTTGTATAGAAAAATTATTATGATTATGACGATGAATAATAAATGATTACAAAAATAATAATTATTGTTCAAACCGAAAAAGCAAACAAAAAAACAAAACAAATATATATATATACGAGAAAACGTCTTTGGCTTCCTACTGGGATGGCGTGGAAGTGGAAGTGGAGGAACCCGGGTCCATCGAGCACTCTTCGCCGATGACACGTGTCAATTCCCGCGGGTTTCGCTCGGCAAAAAGCGGACTAATGGTCGGGGAAAACCCCCAACAAACAAAATAATTAGGAGCTCTCGAGAGGAATGGAGGGAGCGTGGAAAAATATCGAAAACGGATGAGAATGACCGTATGTATATAAAAAGAAAATATAATACGATAATTCAGGATAAAAGAGTCGGATGTCAGCATATACCTAAAACCAGGATTAGCTTTTTTAATTATATACCTAGTCTCCCTGTAACAAGGATATTTTAAGATGATTAACTAGGATTTTAAAATCACTTATAAAGGTGCCTAAAAATATGCTCATATGTGTTTCAAATGAATACTTGAGACTTGAGGACATAAAATATATTGTTGCATACTTTTGGACACCTCTGCAAGTGATTTTAAATCTCTTATATTTTAAGTGTCACGAATCAATTAACAAGAGTTGACCCAAAGCGCCTTATTTAATTCGCCCAGTCTAGTTATACGTTTTTATGGAAAAAATAACCATGCATATCTGGGGAGCTCTGCGTGAAAATCTTGATTTCCCCGAAGCAGCTAACCGGCAAAGTGCCAGCAATCAAGTCGCGAAACCAACGAACGGTGGCAAATGGCATGTTCTGAAATCTCGCACGCACTTGCGTTTAAAAAGGAGGCAGAAGGGGGAAAGGGGGCTGTGGGCTCCATCGACATTGTATTATATAACTTGTGTAACTTTCACTTTTCGAGCCCGCTCAACGCAGGTGCTTAGCGGTAGTAACAGCGGCAACATCAGCAGGCAGCCGCAACAGCAAACACTCTAATTAGAGAGGGGAGAATGGGGCTGCACGGGGCAAAGGACGAAAGGACGAAGGCAGTCGGAATGCCGCTGCCGAAGCTGGCTCCTCCTGGCATACGAGTCCGAATCCTTCGGCTCTTCTTTCTGGCCTGGGAACTGTGCCGTCGACTCGCCGAGTTTTCAGATACGTTTCGGCTGGCGAAAGGGAAAGTTCGAAGTGCGAACGTCGGACGCCGGGAAATTCTCCTTCGCTTTTCCGGCTCTTTTGTGCGAGTTTTCAACGGTCTACGGGCTGCGTGTGAACGCACTTTTGGTACGTGTGTTAATCCGCCGTAGAAATAAAAAATGGAAACGAAATATGAAAATGTGTGTGTTTGTGGGTCTAAATATTTGCCCAGCGTTAACGAGTTGTGCGACAAAGTCAACGGTCAACCTGCGTTTTTCGTTTCTTGTTTACTCTAGCGCACTTGCGGTTACTTTTTGGCGCCACCTCAGCGTAAAAAATACGGAATGGAAAATGGGACTGTAATTGCGAATGTGTCCGAAATCATTTGTTGGGCCTGAAAACTTTATGCCAACTGACAGCTACACGGATTTCTACTCAGGCCCCCGAATGCGAGTGCCGAAAGGTCAATGCTAATTGACACTGACATGCCAAATGAGTTGCGAATCTCTCGATAATTGCAAATTCAGTTACGATTCTTCGTTACATTTCGATCGGTTGGTAAATGTCGGTAAATGTAAAGGGCAGAGTTTGTTTGTATTTTAGTGTAATGGGCTATTTTTTTGGATTTAGTTCTTTTAAAATCATTATAAAGTGATAATTACAATATGCATTATATTTTCTTAAAATATTTTCCATGTTCTTTAAGCAATAGTTTAGTTTCTTAGTCTTACTTAGAAATTTTCTACTGAAAAAAAATTGAAAGATTTAAATAATAATGCTATATAAATAATTTGTATGGCTAATAATTTTGTTTTTGATTTTTTTACATTTCTGAAACCTGCTTAGAGTTTTTGTTATGACCACGTGATTGTCAATTGTTGAACTAGCCCCTTTAATACCTGCTAATATGTTATATTATATCAAAGTTTACCAATTTTAAATCGCAGACATAGGTGTAACTAAGCTAATAGTGAAATTGTAGCCTTCAAAACACATTCCTTTACATATTCGAAGCAATTCTTTTCTGGCTAGCGACTGTTTGTTTGCCAGCATCTTCAGCTCATTTAAATATTAATTGAGCCCCTTTCGAATAGCGTATTATGAGTGGAGAATGAGGCAAGTGACACGCGCATTGCCGGGTCAAAGTCAGGCCCACCTCATCGGCCTCATTATCATCGTGTGCGCCGCATTAATAATTCAAATCGGCGATGCGAAAGCTCAGCCGAGACTCAAACCCGAGGTGAATTCTGAGGAGACGGGCAACGGTGCGTATTAATAACGGCATTACTGAAAATTATTATTTTAGATACAAATTTGTGTTTAATACGATTCTCAATTTGTTTTAAAAAACAAAAATTATTGGCTTAAAATCGTGTTTAATAAAAACAATTTAACCTTAAATTAAATGTCTACTAATGACGCTGAAATGCGTTTGCGTGAAGTGATTAAGAAAATAGATCAAAATGAAAATGCCCTTCCCATAGGAAATGGAACCAAGAACCACCAGCGAATGCCGCGCAGTGTGTTCCATGTCCGCTGGAATCCCAACGAGAAGTTCATCGTGGAGAGTCGAGAGAATCCGGCCATCAACTCCTCGAAACTGGCGCCCCATCCCCGGCTGAAGGTCTCCAAGAACACCAAGCTCACCCTCAGCCCGAAGCTGTACCTCTGCCATGACAAGCATTCGGAGCTGTGCCACAACAAGACGCAGCAGTTCCGCCAGCGGATTGTCCACACCTTCGAGAAGGCCATGATGGAGTCGGTCAACGAGTCGCAGGCGAACCACTACAACGTTGACTACAAGCCGGTGTTCGGGGACAGCTTCGAGGAGCAGTACTACCCGTCCACCTGCCTGGTCATGGAGGCGGGTGTGCGGGTCCTGCGCCGCAAGGATGCGCCCTTCAACAAGCTGCCCTTCGGCCGGCTCTTTCCGCGTCAGAAGCTCTTTCGCAACCTCAAGGACATCAAGACCTGCGCGATCGTCTCCAGTGCGGGCTCCTTGGCGGGCTCCAAGCTGGGTCGCTTTATCGGTGAGCAAACTACTGCCAAATATTTACATATTTTTTTTATACCTATAGTTTTTAAAATAATACCAAATATTACCAAAAAAGACTTTAAAAAAATCCCTAATAATTTCTGAATACTAGCTGATCAACTATTTTTTTTAAATACTGCCTTTTAAGTATACATTGAAATTACAAATTAAGTTAACTATTTGCATTTCCCATCTGTTAAACTGCAGTGGAGGCAGCCAACCGCCTGCATGCACAATTAGTCGGAAGAGGCCGACGCTCATGAACAATTTGATTTACCCGTCTACTCTAATTTCGATTATTTTCTGTTCTGTATTTCGCTGGCTTTATTCCTCGCCTGCTCCCAGACACGCACGACATTGTGATGAGATTCAATCATGCGCCAACGCAAGGACACGAGGTGGATGTGGGCAGCAAAACCACAATTCGTGTGGTGAATTCGCAAGTAGGCTAAAACGCAGTTCCGCACTTTCGACTGCAGTTTGCAGTTTGCATTTTCCCCCTTTTCCCCTTTTTCCCTCCCCACAGGTGGTGACCAAGCCCGAGTTCGACTTCACCCATGCCCCCATCTTCCGGAACGTTACGATTGCCGCCTGGGATCCGGGCAAGTACAATGGCACCCTGGAGGATTGGCTCACCAGCGCCGACTACGATCTGTTCACCAACTACGAGATATACAGGCGTCGCTATCCCAAGTCCAGGGCCTTTCTCATCGATCCCCATTCCGTCTGGCGGCTGTGGCAGAGCCTGCAAATGTTTGCCGGAAACCGACCGATAAGCAGGAATCCACCCAGTTCCGGTTTCATAGGTGAGCTTTGAGATATTAAATTAGAATGTTTACACAGCAGCAAAATCATATTGGGTTGG